TGAGGCGCTGCGGGAACGAGCCGCTGCTCACGGTCGGGCCCCGCCGGCCACCGGCACCGCGCGGGCGGCCCGGGCGTGGGACAGCAGCGCGAAACGTCAGTACATCGTTTACATGCCATGAAGGAGCCCCGGCTGGATAAGATACGGCTGTTCTTACTTACCTGATCACTGCGTGTGCGTGCTGGGATTAAAAAAAAATAAAATTCCTACCAGGTTGTACCAAAAGCTCTTGGGTTTGATATAACCATTGTTCTGTTGTTGATGTTTCTTGACATAAGAATAGTGCTGCGTTGTAGGAATCCAGCCGTGCAGAGCCTGAGTTGGAGGGCTACGAGGATGGTGAAGGGCCTGGAACCTGCCTGATGAGGAAAGGCTGAGAGACCTGGGGCTGTTCAGTCTGGAGAGGAGAAGCCTGAGGGGGCATCTAATTAATGTCTATCAATACATGAGGGTATCAAGAAGGCAGGACAAGCTCTTGTCACTTGTGCCCTGGACAGGATGAAGGGCAATGGGTTCAAACTGGAGCCCAGGAAGTTCCACCTCAACATGAGGAAGAACTTCTTTCCTGTGAGGGTGACAGAGCCCTGGGACAGGCTGCCCAGAGAGGCTGTGGAGTCTCCTTCTCTGGAGACTTTCCAGCCCTGTCTGGATGCCTTTCTGAGTGACCTGCCCTAGTTTTGGTCCTGCTCTGGCAGGGGGGTTGGTCTTGATCTTCGGAGGTCTCTTCCAACCCCGAACATTTTGGGACTCTGTGACTGTAATAATCTGTGGGGTTTTTTCCAGAAAACTGTCTACTATAAATTCCAAAGCTGTGTTTATGCCTCAGAATGGCCCTTGAAGAGGACAAAAAAAAAAAAAAAAAAGGCACTGTGTTCGATTTTTGAGCAATAAGCAAAGCAGTGTCCTGAAGAACTGTTTTTATTATGTTTTTACACTGAACTCTACATCCTGGCTATGTTCACCCTGTGAAATCCAGGCTCCTGGTTCCTTTTAACACCATCCTGGAGCTTGGTGAGGGGCAGCCCAGGCTCACAGCTCATCCTGCTGCTCTGAACAGCTCGTACTTCTGGTGTTGACAGACCTTGTTATTGGAATAAATACAGTGATGATGAGGAACAAAAATTAAGAGAGTTGGCTAAAAAGGGTGGGGGAGATCAAAAAGATTGGTTAAAGCTTTTTTTCTGATAATAAAATTTCAGTGGATCAAGTAACCTTTCAAGTAAAGTAGGCTTTTCAAAAGATGCTGAGCAGCTTCTGCATTTCCTTTTAAGAACTCAGAGGCTTCCAAAGACCATAGGAGTAACTTCTGAATTTTTGAAAATTACAGTTTTAAATATTTTTTTTCCCAAAACAAGACATACATGACTTCAGTTCTGCCAAAAATGGGTGAAGAAAGCATATTGCAAAAATGGGACAAATCAGGATTATGAATGCAAATACAAAGTGTGTGGTCAAAAAGACAAACGCATTGAATTGTCACTCAAAATGGTGTAATTTTTATCAGCATTTTCAGTATGAGGTGCTGCCCAGTTGTTGGTGGAAGTGCTGTGAAACACCTTGTTTCTTATTGCCTAAAGCTAAATTTACATACAATACTTTTTCATCCATGTTTTACCATTTTTTTTGTTGGTTGTTTGATTTTGTTTTGATGCTGGTGTTCACTCATTCTCATGTAGAATTTGAAACTGCCGAAACTCTTCTAAATTCAGAAGTACATATGCTTCTTGAGCATCGCAAGCAACAGAATGAGAGTGCAGAAGATGAGCAGGAGCTTTCTGAAGTCTTCATGAAGACCTTGAACTACACAGCGCGCTTCAGCCGCTTCAAGAACCGTGAAACCATAGCCAGTGTCCGTAGGTGAGTGGAAAAGTTAGAGTATAAGACTGTACTGGAGAGCTTGTTGTGTAATATTGATACTGCTGGATGAAAATATAGTTTAGTGATTTCTGCTATTCTGAATCTTGTATTTCTGAAGAGGCAAGATACTGGATAGTAATTCTTCACGAAGCCTTGTACTTTGTCTGGGTAAGCCTTCTGAACTCCTTTGTTTTCCGTGTATAAGTGACAGCTGATTGCAGCAAACGGGAGGATTTTCAAGACTTAGTAGAGTAATTCTGGAGAAGTGAGCAGTGTGACTTTTTTTCTCTATGCAGTTATATGATTAGTCTTTCTTCCTGAAAAAAAACCCCCAACATATTTACTTCAGTGTCAAAAGCAGAGTGAGAAAAATATACTATTTTGTTTCGTTTATGCCTTCTTATATTTCTGTCTCACTTGCATTTTCACCAAGTTTCTGTCTTTTCTTGCAGTTTGCTGCTTCAGAAAAAGCTCCATAAATTTGAATTGGCATGCTTGGCTAACTTGTGTCCTGAGACAGCTGAGGAGGCAAAAGCTTTGATTCCTAGGTGAGCATTTACACAGGGGAAGAAGACTCCTTTCAACTTGGCTGTGCTCTGAAGCCAGCTATGGGCAGGTGCCATCTCTTCAGTTCAGCTGATGGAAAAACTTCTTGTTTCCATCTTTCTTCACCTACCTGTTGACCTGACAGTGAGGCAATCTTATCAAAAGCCCCTAATGCGCTTCTGACAACATTTACTTAATTAAGTACAATGAGCTTAAATTGGGACTCTTATGCTACCCAGCCATGTTTGGGGTCTTTTGCTATTGTGATGATTTTTTTGTTTGGGTTTGTGTCTTTTTTAAAATTCTTTTGGAGCAAATGACACCTACAGGGGAGCAGCGAATTCTGTTGTGTCTTGATTTGTTACCCCATGGCCTGAGATAAAGGAGGGAGTAAAACACTCTCCTGAATTAGTTTCTTCCTTATATGCTGAGATTTCATGGTGAAACCAGGCTGATTTATGGGCATGAGGCTACATGAACTTCATCTAGAGGCTTATTGGAAGCTGTACCTGTCTCACAGTTTTGAGAAGGTGTTTTGCAATTCCTCAGCAAGCAGTTCTGGGTAGGATGGAGTTTCGTCACTGCACAGGGAAAGGAGTGGTATTTGTCCAGGGATGTTACTGGTGTTTCCACACCAGTGAATGGTGATGGTGTGGAGGCTGACAGGGAAGAACTACAGCTCTCTTAAATGAATCCAGGGAGAGGTTATTTCTAAAACCTTCAATTTAGCCTCATTGTTCTTACCTTTCAGCCTGGAGGGACGATTTGAAGATGAGGAATTACAGCAGATTCTTGACGACATTCAGACTAAACGCAGCTTCCAGTATTGAGGTTAACCCTCAACCCTTTATCTGAACAGAAAAACCTGAGAACTTGTACTGTCCCTCGGCCCTCTGGACCAGTCCAGGTCCTGGCTGAGGAAGAGAAGTTGTGCATGCAAGGCGCTCCAGTGTTGCATCATCTACAGGTGCAGTCAGACTTGACACCAGGGTACTCCTGTTGCTTTGTTCCACACCTGTGTTGGTAAGACACCTGGATTGTGAGAGCCAAAGAAAAAAAACCACAAACCCAATGTTTTCCCAGTGGCTCAAGTATTTGTTTCTTCCAAATTCCTCTCCTTAATTTGGGAATTTTCAATATGATTCTGTTTTTTAGCAGAAATTTAGATGTGACTTTTTTTTTTTTTTTTTGAGTGTGTGAATTTCTAAAAGAGATGGTGAAACTTGTTCCCAAAAGTTTAGTGATGGGATTTCTGTGGGGGTTTATTGTTATGCTTTTGTTTATTGTTTGATCAGGACTGTGGATTTTTACAGCTTCAATACTTTTCTATTATTGTTAGGTGTAAATTAAAACATTTCTAATTAAGGCCGTGTGTTTTCTAAACATCAGATGCATATTAAAATTGTATTAATGAGGACCTTTCTGATAAAGAGATCTGGGGACTCCCAAGTGTGTGATAACATAAGGACAATTTAGGACAGGTCAGACAGAAGCCTTATTAATTGTGATCACAGTGAGAGAGCACTTGGGATATCTCCTCCTCTGCTCTTCTGTTCTTTGCCAAGTGATCACAGAGACCCAGTCTGTTTCAGAAAAGAAAAAGGTGAGGAAGAATGATTGTTTTGATGTTAACAAAGTCCAGTGTCCATCTTGGGAGGGATGGACTCCTTCAGTATCTTGCTAACCACCTCAGTTCTCAGAAAGAATCCAACAGTAAAGGCTGTGATACTCTGGAAGGACAACTCTTGGGGGAGCTACAGGAGCAGCTCACCCAGTGCTCTTCACTCCAAAGTGGGGAGCTAGCAACAATCACAGACATTTCAACTTCTAGTTGAAAGACATGTTGTTTCAGTCAGGGTAAGCTGCTTAACCAGCCCTCTCAGATCTCAAATCCCAGTAATTTCATCACCACACCTGGAATCTCAAATCCCAGTAATTTCATCACCACACCTGGAATCTCAAGTCCCAGTAATTTCATCACCTGGAAGAAGGAACATTTTTCAGGAAAGAACAGCTGTTACACAGAGTAAGGCACACTGCTTGTGATGATTAGCAGTACAGTTTCACTGGTGTTGCAAAAGGGAGGGAAAGACTGTAGTATTTCAGCCCTTATGGGATACTGAATATTTCTGCTGTGCTGGAATGTTTCTGGCTAGGCTGGCTCCTGACAACTGGTCGGGCTGCCTCAGCAGAAGCACCTCGCATCAAAATGTCTGTGCTTTGCTGGCATTACATCTCCCCCAGGCCTGTAAACCAGACATGCCTTTCTAAATGACCACAGTGAGTTTAACTGGATCAGGAGAATTATAACTAAAAAGATAAAGGCAAGGTGACATGGTGAATATTTGCTTTATAAAGCCCAGTGGCTCCTTTTGATCAAGGATGGGCTGCTCCCGCTGTAGCTTTATTTGCCCTGTGAAGTGTTTCTGTTCAAGCAGCTTTAAGACATTTTAATCTTTTATAGGCTCTCATATATTTACGAGTGCTCATTTTAATTAAAAAAAACACTGCACTCCAGCCCTCTTCACCTACACTTAAGGTAAAGGCACCTGATACAGCTGGGAGCCGTTACTACTTGGTATCTTTGTAAGCTGCATCAGACTTAAGCATAAGAAAGTGATCTCAGATTTGCATAGACAGGTAAATCTGAGCACTGGGACTAATTGTTCCTGACTTGTGCTTTGAAATCGAAATGGGGAGGGGGCAGAGGGTGGGAAAGTCTGAGGGACCCGCGCAAGTAACGATCCTGCGGTAGCTCCCGACTGCTTGGTGAACGAGCAGACCGGTAAGGCGAAGCAGCACAGCCCCGCAGAGCTGTGCCAGGTGCGCCAGGCCCCGCTGGAACCGGTGCAGTGTCCGGCTGCCGGGACTGCCGGTTCT